TGCAATGTGGTCCAATTTTTTCTGCCAACACAGTAGACCTATGCTCGCAAAAGGATGTACCAACGTTATAATATTAATAATAATAATAATAACAATAATAATGGTAATAATGATAATGATAATGATAATGATAATGATAATAATAATAATAATAATAATAATAATAATAATAATAATAATAATAATAATAATAATAATAACCAAACAAAAATTTAGTTTTCTCAACCACCTCTTTGATATGGATGATATAAAATTATATACTCATCAATTGAAAACCTCCAAAGTATTCCAGAAACTGTTGAAACATTCTCAAATGATATTCACATGGAAATGGGCTTAGAGAAATGTCGCACTCTGCATATTGTAGAAGGTAAAATTGATATAAGTAAATTTAATGAATGAAAAATACCTAACCTATAAGATGAAGAACGTTACAAGCATCTGGAAATAATGCAAGCTGTGGGAAACAAAGATTTTCTTGTTAAAAATTCTCTTCAGATGTAATTCAAAAATCGTCTACAACAACTGATGAAAGATTATTTTACAGGGAACACCCTTATAGATGTCTATAAATACCTATGCAATATCGTTCGTACATACAGCTTCGGTATTATTAAATGGTCCTCAAGTGACCTCCAAAATCGCCAAAGACTAATTGTATGCAGTGGCAAAATATAAAAATAATCACCTAAAATCGTGTATAGATATGTCTATACTGCCTGGAAAGAGGAGAAGACATGGAGGGAGAGGCATACCTGACATCCACGAACTACACTAAAAACAAATCGCTTCACTCAGAGAATACTTCCTCAATAAATCAAAATTATCATTGATACACAAAGCAATTGAGTAATGAGATAAATATCTAATACCTCTGCATCTGTACCAGGACACTCTTTAAGAAACTACCTTTCAAATAGAAAAATAAAAATACTAGTCAGAAAATCAAATTCATGGTCAAATTTTTAGGCCCTTCACAGTCCATGGACAGACTTCTCGACCTCTGTAAAGTGGATAAACAATTGGATATGTTTATGCTGAAACTGAGACTTTCATGTTAGTCATTGAAGGTGAAGTTATTCTCATTCGAAACTACAGAAAACAAGTCCAAAAAGATCTCAAGGTCCAATCATTTCTCTTACTACATATACAAACCTGAGCCTGTATTGGAAAATGAAAAGGTCAGAATTTATTTCGATCGCGCAATTTTGACGCACAAGACTCTAGAACATAACAGGTCAGACATTGTGATAACACTAAAGTTGCCAAAACTACTTTTCTCATTGATGTTGCAGTTCTTGCTTACAGGAATACGCAAAAAACATTTTAAACTTTTTAAATTCAAATTCTTAAATAAATAGCAAATAACAAACTTGCTGAAAACCCCGTTGTTATTTGAGAACTTGGTCTTTCTGAGAATCAGCAATGTGTAATAATAGTAATAAAATAATAATAATAATAATAATAACGTTTCTCTTATCACTGATCTTACTAATTATTTGTTTGTAGAGATTTGTAATGCAATTAAGTTTCTTTCTGTACAAAAAGTTTTAGCAAGAATATTTTTCATCCACTCTATCTTCTTAATCATTTTTTAATAATTATTATTTTCAAATTATATGTAACTTCAAGTATAAATATATGGTATTAAATACATTATTTTTCATGTTCGATATCTGAGCGTAGAGATATCAGCGTTAACATTTATATTATAATGTTTGATAGTCCTTTGAAAATTCATATTTAAAAAATTAAATAATATTGCATGATCATATTGAGTAAATAAATATTTAAATGTATCGAGTAAGTTTCTTTCAATTTTGTTGTTAAATACAAAATTAGGTTTAATCATCGCCAATCTGATGAATCGATACCTATGATTCATGCCTCAAGAGAGAGTAATTCAGTTTCTCCATGTATTCGGAGATGAAACGAAATCATCAAAACCCCTTTTTTGTAGAATTCTTCCAGGATATTCTAGACAGAACCGCCTAAGAATCGTGTCAATCGATTTGTCTTATCGAGAGGAATCAAATAAGGTGGTGGCATCTTTGACGTCGTAAGTCTCCCAAAACGCTTTCTAGTTGCCTCAAAACACCACCAGAAAGTGGTGGTGCTACAAAAGCACAAACGTTCTCGCATTGTTCCTAACTGCTCCGCTATATTATACTACTACATGATCCTGCAAAAGTGTTTTCAACCAGCAAAATGTTTTTCAGCTCCGAGACCGGAACTCAAATCCTCATAGTTAACTTGCCGTCACTCTTACCAGTTCATCATAGCAGCGCCGTATGGATCGATTTTTGGGGGACGCATAAAAAAGTAAATACTCTCATGTAAAAAAACAACTCACAAATCAAAACATCCGTTTGAAACTCACAAAACATCGAGTTTGTTCAGAACGATCGGGGAATATCAGATCGATCGGAGACGGACGGACAGACACAAAGAGACAGACAGACAGACGTTTTGACATCAATCGATTTTTCGGTATCAAGGACCGACAAAATGGATTTTGGCTGCACCACGAGTTAGTGGAATTTTTTCTACATTTAGCAGCTAGATTTCTCCACTTCTTCGTTGCAAGGACCCGGATATAAGTTTTTTTCTACTAAAAATTTGCCATTTTCCGGCGGACGATTATATAACTTTTTCTTCTTACGAAGTACCTTGCAAGGGCGAGAACCAATAATTAATTTTCTCTTGTTACGAAGTATCTTGATGAGAAACTAAAAAGATTAGTTCCCCATTAGAAGACTGAGCCGTGTGTACGCATTCCTCAATTATTGTGCCAAAAAGAGTCTACCTGTGAGTAAAAAAGGCAGACTGCTGGGCGGAGGCTGGTTACTGTATTAATATAAATGGATGTTAAGAACTTACTTCAGTAATTTCATAGTAGAATTTGACAACTTAAGTGATATATTTAAATTTTTTGGGCATCTTTCTTGAAAATGAAATATAATTTAATTTTCTTCAAAACTTTCCTTTATATCCACCCAAGAACTTGATAAGGTTTCGCCTGAAACTACTCCTAAGAGTAACGGGCAGTTGCCGTCCCCAGCGGCGCCGGGGGCGGCCGCTGCGGCGGGGCTGGCGCTGCGCTGCCGCCGCACCCAGCCGTCGTCACTTCCGGCGGAAACCGCGCTGACAGCTCGACGCGCATTCAGCCGCAGGCGCCGCACCGCACCGCGCCGCGCCGCTTGGGCCTGGGAGCCGAAATTTCTCCGGCAGGCGGAACCGTCGCGTCGCGTCGCCTCAGCAAGGCCCCACAGCGGCTCACGGCCCCCCGGAGCACTGCGGGCGTCATATCCTGGGAAACGGCGCTGCCACACCGTTGGCCGAGAATAGTCTTTGTTACTCGCACCGCTGGAGAAAGTAGAAACCTTGGAAGTGAAACGAAAATAAGTGTATTGTATGGACAAATGCCGAACCCTTGTGGCAGCGTCAAAAGGTCTTGCTTAATATTTTAACGAAATATTTGTTTTAACAGAGTGTACATAAACCTTAATGTTCTGAATATATGTAATATACTCCATCGCAAATATAATGCTCATTTTTCAGAAAAAGATGCTGGTAATTGGTATTGGAAAAGATCAATATATTTTTACTGAGACACTTGGTATAAAATATTATTGTGAGAAGAAACTGAAGCATCGTGGTTGCTGTTGACGACGTAAAATTTTGCTAACTTTATTGTACAACTTCAAGATAACTTATACCTTAGAAAACCTTGAACTCGAGCAGAAAGAGGGCGTATATCATCTATGACAATACAAAGCAACGTAGTGTTTTGCAACATTCTCGTTTAATGATTACAACCTCATGGATTTACATCATTATCCGATTCATTGATAATGGTTATTTTTACGCAAAAATACAAGGATAAATAAGCTTTAATTAGGAAATATTATTTTCATTATTTGTATGAATCGCAACGTGTCAGCATTAAAAGAAAAACATTATATTTTCAGTTGAAATGTTAAAAGTGACTCGACAACGTGAGATGAGGGTTTTGTTTTTTGTGCCTTCGAAATATTCCCGGGATTATTTCGATGAACTATCGCATTATTTATGAACCCTGAGAGGGTGTAAAAATACGTGTGATCAACGATAGGCTACTATTGTGATTACCATGTAATGAACTTCTAATCTTGTGCAAAATATAGATTTGATTGCTCACATTATGCCAGGATCAACTCTACCATTTCGTTAATTTCTGTCAATAGTGAAAATATGCAAGAATTTTTTTCAAATTATATATGACAAGAAGTGATATTAGCATTGTAATTTTAATGCATTGAGAGTTTCTGTGGCGATATCGAATAGAGACGCTTTGTGAAACTTCACGAAATTTGTATGGAATTCCGTGTGTGGTTTCAGCTCTATCGTTTATTCACGAAAGTGCGTTGTAAATATCCTTCAAGAGGAAATGTATTATAATTTTTTTTATTTATTCCTTTCACGAAATTGAGTAATGTCTGTTCATGAATGACTCCCGAAATCATCGTCCTCACGAGAGTAATGAATATAATAACAACTCAATACGCAATTTCATTGTCGCACGCTTCAAATGAACATGGCGCATATGAGAATGTTGCGGTGTCAGTGCTCGGGAGATCAGAGCAGATGTTCAAGCTAAATAAGCTCGCGCTTCGGTGCAGGTCAAGTGCACGCAGCGGCGAAAGAAGCAGCGTGTTGTTGCGTGAGATCACGACGCTGCGCTGCGCCCTGCCGCCACGTCCACGAGTTAATATGGGACGGAGGGCTGCGTGTGGCCGCTACGAGTTGAGACAGCCAGTTGTGCACTGAGGCTGCTCCCGCGGCCTGAGTCAGTGAGGTCTACTGGGAAATACTGGAGACACTTTGCTCTCAGCAATGTTATGGGCGTGGTTTTCCCACTAGGCAAGAAAAATCAAGTTTACCTTGAAAGTGATCTTAAGAGTTGTATTTAATATCTTTTTTAATTTCTTTCTACAGAGATATATTTCAGGATTTCCGACACTAGCTACGTAGCTGTATTGAGTTCAGTCGCTATGCGAGGAACATTCTAGCGGCCGGCTGCTCTGATCCGTAGTTTTCCGTGATTTCTTCAATCGACACAGGGCGAGTGCCGGAGTAGTTTTCCAACAAACGGGCCACAGACCGCGTGCGATCTTTCCTATCTCTTCCTTGTTCTACTCTTCCCCTTTAATTACACACAGTTAAACTAACATGTACTACACGAATGTCGTATGCTTCCGAGGTCAGAGTTATGATTTGTTCTGTCCGGGTGACGCCGCGTCGATGGCTGAGGTGCCGACGTTTCGACCGACATATCGCGACCCTCTTCAGGGCAGTACGACCCAGATCATGTACTACACTACCACGCGTGCCGGGAGACCGATCGGGAGCTTAGGGATTGTTCCGCTAGGGGTGGTGACCAGCTTAGGAGAAATACTTGGTTGGGGAAAACCCCGCTTGCTGACGTGTAGGTCGGCGTCCGATGTCGCCATCCAATCGTGAAATTCAAACCTTCCACGACAAAACATGCACTATTCTTACAGGACTAACGGGCTTAGCAGTTACCGAGCCCGGGAGCACTAATGAATAAATTATATTTGATATTTGATACTTGATATTTATAAGAAGGAAATGAGAATCAGCATTCCTGATATTTGTTAAAAAACTTGTAAATAATGTATAACGGTTCGCCGTTATAATTTGTATCGTTATTTACATCTCGGCATTATAATTTATATCGTTGTCAGATTTCTTAGTGTTGTTCAGCAGATTAATGGCGAGATTACTTGGGTGAGTTTTTTTGCCTAGTATGGCATTTTCGGCACGTGGAAACGGTTTCTTCTATAATGACTCTGATTTGAAGATAGTAATAGAAAACTTATATTGCTGACTAAGGAAGCTTTGGTTAAGATGCTCACAATGTCCCTCTTAATTTGCAGTGACATGTTTGACGAAGCTAAATTGCTTAGAAGTCGCACGTTTCTTGAACGTAAGATTAATGGACGCCCCCAGTGAGAAAGGGTATGCCACTCTCTCGCGCCGCATAAGCGAAGAAAAGCCACAAAATATCGATATATGACTTGTATCTAGACGCATATATTTAATTTATTTGTAAGTACGACACAAAAAACTCCAAATCTGTATATTTATAATAAGGTTGTTCATTTAACATTGGAGCTTTCTACTCAACCGAATTTCATGATTTGTTTCAATAAAAGAAAGATGGTTCTCATTGACGCGTTACCATTTGCTATGGTTCACTGGTTCAATGCAAAAACATTAAATGTTAACATTATATTAAAATTAATAGAATTAACTCATTTTCTGCTGGCAATTTTTCATTCCGGCGATTTAAAAACCAACCGCTATACATTTGTTGATGCTTCTGGTCATTTTTGAAGCATTTGAGTGTGCGTTTTCTCATGGTAAAGGCCTTGGCGTCATGAGCTTATAGTTAACGTAGTGAATTTGAGTTGTTTTTTCGAGTAGTTTTTTTCGAGTAGTTTTTTTCGAGTAGTTTTTTTCGAGTAGTTTTTTTTCGAGTAGTTTTTAAATCGTTTAAAAGTTCTTAAATTGACTTTTTAAACATAACAGTTCGTGAGTGAATTTAAACGCAATGATCATAATTTGTGCGACACATGTATTCCTTTACAAAATCTGTCAGTAATTATCATTATGTGTTAATATGTTAAAGTGAATAGCATGACATCCACCCATAGTACACTACAACATAAATGTACAGATTTAAGTATATTGAAAGCATTTAATTACATTTTCAAAAGCTTTTTTTGATTCTGTGTTCCGAACGAATTGTAATTGCATTGTTCCTGAATATGTAAATTTATTACCTAATTTCATCAGTTTGGGATATGAAGTACTGAACATCATTCAGTTCATTCGATTCATCATTATTTTCAACATAATTCAACAACATTCATTTATCTGTAAAGTGCGTACACAAATCACATTTTTGCTCAAAATGTTCTCCATGTCTTCATTTTGTGTGATGTAATCGGAATAGTTCATCTTTTGTGTATAATTTCGTCACTTTTACATTCAACTCATTTCAGCTTAAATATTTGCTAAATATCACTAAGCAAAGAAACATATCCAGACCATCAGAGTCTGCTACAAAAAATATGGAAGATAGGTTAAGAATAAATCTCTAATATTTTAAATATATATTGATCACAATATTTACGCAATAAAAATATAAAAACAATAATTTTGGTACAAATTTCAAGCGCGAAACATTAAGATTTGATCAATTACTATTAAGAAAAATTTTGCAAAATAGATATATTGAAGTTATATAGGAGAGAAAATGCTGAAGTATATAGGTTTGTAATATATTTCGGTGAGAAAATGTTAGATTGATAGATATGTGTTCGAAGCTCATAAAAATATTGCTTTCAAGTACTTCTTCTTACTGGTTAACGCAGTAATGTATATTTTTGGCAGTGCATTTCCTGGCTATTGTTGAAGGTTTCTGCGAAGCAAAGGCCATTAAATCTCCTCGCAACTTCGCAGCTCTTCGCCAGCAAAGGCGGTGCGCGTTGCTTGCGACGCCACGGTTTCCCGTTTCGAAAGCGCCTCTCCAGTGGCTTCGGTAATCGTGCATCGTCGCGACGGTGGCGCCTGCGGCGGCGTCAGCGGTCACGCTGGTGCGCGTTTGAGCGGCTGCGGGCGGGACGCGGGGCGGCGCCGCGGCGTCTGGCGCGCGGAATTGAATTACAGACGCAGGCGTTTATTCCCCGTCGCCGTTCAAAGTAATTTGTTTAATTGACTGGGCCCAAGAGCCATTACGCGAATAGCCTCTCGCCGCCGCCGCCGCCGCCACTCGAAGGGGCCCGGAGTTAGCTAAGTCTCTGGCAATTAGACCGGCGCGCGCCTCGTCGCCGTGTCGACTGCCCGCTACGCGCGTCGCGTCCTGTTTGATTTTGATTTGATGGCCACGCCACTCCAGATGTTGGCCGACTCGATGGAGGTACTTTTTTAAAGAGACGCCGTCTGTTTTGTTTGGGAAGTGATCGTGTAGGGTACACTGTGTACACCATTTTACTAGCTTCATTAGAAGTACTAGTGTAAAGCAGAACAAAAGTGGCATTTGTGGGAACTTGGATACTTTATAAATCAAAACGTGTGTTTAGTTACTCTTTTGACCGGTATCGTTTGTTCAATAATAAACATTTTTCATCTGCGCTTGGTGTGTTTTCGAAGGGAATGTAGGGTAAACATGTATGATACTTTTGTGTATAATCAAATATTTAAAATATTTTGAAGGTAATAAAAAACAACAGTAAAAACCTTTTTGCAAACAATTTCTGAAATTCTGCATTTTTTAAAAT